TGCATGCACACGTATAAAAATTGCGGTTTTTATCCAACGCAATCATAGGTTTGAACGTTGTTTTCAATTTAGACTTGTTTATATATATATATATATATATATATATATATATATATATATATATATATATAAGACGTCCCGAGAGGTCATCCACACCCTCTGTCATATGAAAATGCTCAAATATTTTGAAAATGGTTGAGATTGCCACCCCTCAACCATATATGTTCTGCATGATGAATTGTATATTAAATAGGGGAAGTCCCAAAGGTTTATATTTTAAGTCTTTGGATACGCACGTCTTTCTTGCAGTGTGATTGAAAAGATATTTAGATCATGTACTTGTGTCTTTAAGTGATATTTCGGGAGAGAGAAAACCTAATATGTATGCATACATGGTAATGGATTATATGTGTTTTTCGTTTCATAAATATTGTGTGTAGAATCGTCTAAGAAAAATGAAATGGTACAACTAAACATGTAAAATAATTTCCAGGTATGTAACTTTTTAGTCTAGGTTATTTAACAAATAAGATGTTCTCGATTATAAGTCATATCGGAAATAAAAAGTGATTCTATAAAGAAAACCATAACATTAAATGGAGAAAAATTAAACAAGAAAATAGTGTTTCATGCACAACCCAGCAGTTTGTCTTCCATTTGCTCATTTCAACGAACAAAATGTTTATGCATTTTTTATACAAATATGTAATATAAACAAATCCACATGATTAAAAAAATTCTGGATTCCGTTGTGTATGTCTTTTACTTAAGTGAAACACTACTTTTTAATTGTATTTAAACATTTCAAGATTAATTCCATCATTTGCACTGCCGATATAACTGAATCATTTGCCACTTAGTATAAACTGTTATATTTGCCACTAGACATATATCAACAACAGTAAATGAATTCGATCATGTTTCTGTCGATATTTGAATAATAAACCGCGCCAAATATTCAACAGAAGACTCAAATTCTATCCATTACTGCTACAGATAAACAATATTCCGAATACGCCATTTTGACCATTTCAGTTCCTTGAACTATTTGTTCTAGTTAATCACAAAATTATTGTAGAAACTATCCGAGTAACACTTCTGTTTTCAAATGCAACGAAAGATTTTTGCTGTACAAAATCCAAATACATTTTGAATTTCAAGGAGATGGATATTTAAACGGTAAAATTAAAAGCAAATCTTTAAGTGAAATATATTTTATCTCTAATTTTCATTATTCAATAATGTTCATGTGTTCAATATTACAAAAGAATTCAACTGAGTTAACGCAGTTTATATTTTGTAGATGCGCAGAAGATGAATGGCACGCAATGGATAATATTTGTGTGACAGAAATTCAGCCAAGATTTGCATCGGAAACAAACTGCGGATTGTGTTGATGAATTTTAATGAATACGATACTACATTTTATGCAATGGAATTACGTCTTGCAAATAAAAGCTGTTTGTTAATAATGAGATATTTGGTGTTCATTGTATGACTACGATCCATCTCAAAAACAGTATCAGGAGTCGTTTTCACAGAAAAAACTTACGACTAAGATTGATCGTAAGTTTACTGAATTGTTTATGACTTACGATTAATCTTAGTCGTAAGTGTTTTTGTGAAACCGACTTCTGCCGTTTTACTAAGTTTTCATCTTCATTCGATATCGCGTTACGTCCATTAGAACTATTTCCATGGGTGAACACTTTTTTAAGAAAGTGACCATAGCAATATCCAAAGGGCAAAGCGTCTTGATGAATCAAGATGAGCAACAACAACAGATTTACGTCACATGTGTATTTTATTATTTAGGAATGATCGGAAAAAAATCTAAATAAAAGTACCAACTTTTAGTTTTTTTTTTTGTCAATCCAAATCTAAGATGGTCACCACCATTGAACAAATTAAAGTATCACATAGAACTAAATGTATGAGCCATATATACACATAGATTCTTCCTCAACTATCTCCCAATCATAAAAAAATCTTATTATACTGGGATGATCCTATACTAATTTTTCGTTTGTGTTGCCTGATCAAAATTAAAAAAAAACTGATCATCAGGATGGAAAATTGGTAGAACAATATGGGAATTACGTACAGACAGCTTTTCATAAACCATCTCACACATTAAAAACAAAATCATACACATAGGGAGCAAGGAAATTCCTCTATTATGTCTGAAACAAAAATTGTTATCAGTGTGGAACATAGTTTAACATATGATCATGTTGAAAATCCATACTTAGTCAAATAGTTATACATATAATATCCTCCTAAACTACTGCAACATTATAATCTTTAGAATTAATGACGCTATACTAATTTCGAGATTTTGATCGATGCCAGAATCCTAGAATGGCTGTTAAACCGCCGAACACAGTTTCACACAGAACCTTATGCGAAAGATACTGAAAAGCCTTTTCACGAAAATCTGTAAGGGAACCACAATTGATAAACCAGCGGAATATAACACTGTCAAACAAACTAACACTAATCAAAGAATTACGGGTTTCTATCCATACTGATCTGTGTCCACACTTGTTTCAAAATGAATTACCTTATAATTATGTAAGCACATATCTATATGTTCGTTGTCGCTGTTTATAATATGATTCCTCGATCCTAAGACGATGCATATGCATATTGCAAATCATTTGACTGATTCGAATTTTGTTGACTATATTGAATTAATATTTACGCGGATTCCCCATTTTACCTGAAATACAGAATACCACACATATAGCTCTTTCATGTATAGACTTAAAAAAAAAGACACTGAAGATCGACTGAGACCTAAACTAAAAGTGAAGGAAGACAACTACAGTTGTCCCTTTTAAACTTTTCGTGAGCAGCTGCAATATAACTATATCCTATAATTAAAGCAAAATATGTGATATCAAATTTGAACGTAGAAGATAGTTTTAATTTGTGTTGATCTGGTTTACAAAGTTATGTAAACTTACATTTATATATTATATAATTAGAAAATCATGTTATTTAAAAAAAAAAAGACCTTGTACCTTGAGATCATTGAGGACTTAACAATGATCATTGTAAATGACGAAACATAATTATAGTAAATATATAACTATTAGTGAGTGACAGCGAGCAGCAGTGTAATAACTATGTTTCCAAATGCATCGTTTGTATAGATTGTCTCCTTTACTCCTAGATACAGGTGGTAAAATATACACAACATTTTGGCCTTTACTTTTTAGAGTACGTCGCAGTATATACTAGTATTCTGTTTATATCCCAAGTAGATTTCCCAGTGTCAGTACCTGTCACCCAATGGCAGCCATTCTCGACTTTGTTTTATTCCTTCTCGAAATTCCTTCGACCGTTGTACTTTTAGCCACCAATACTTAATCAATTATTTCAACCGGTCCAACGACAGACAATACAATTTTAAGATGTTCAAAACAGGCATTACAATTTTAAAATGTTAAAATTTCAATTTCAAGGGTGGATAAATATATAATTGTTAACATTAAGAAATTGACTTAAGTCTAAAGTAAATATGACAATTTAGTTACCTTCTGCTGTAGCGTGCACATTTGACCTGCTTTCAAAACTATGTACCGTCTTTTATTTCCAAGATCAAGTTAGTGGTCATCTTGTTATTGATATTGGCAAAGTGCAGGTCATTTAATGTTGTGTATTGCTCTAAATATACAAAAGCGGAGGTTTGTGTGCATGTTAAACTGGTTAAACCTCAAAACAAAATATTGTGTACCTGTACTATCTGAACCTTTTTATGTTAGTTGTAGTTTGTCTCTGTAATTATCGTCTTTGTCAACTTATGAGTCAGGTGTTGGTGGTTAGTGTGGTCGGTTGTGCAGTCACTTATTTTTTGACAATTCCTATTACTAAAAATTTTCGGGGCAAATCTCTGTTGTATAACTTTGATTCCGGAAAACACGGAATAAGACGATTATATTTTTAATTTAATTTCTACAATGTATCAAACAAAACATGAGAAGTTCTATTTCAAAGGAAAACCCGATATATTTTCTGAAAGGCTCATACTCGACAGGACATATCAAAATGGCTTTACCTCCAGCGTTTATGAAAGTTTGGTTATTCATAAGTTAATATTGTATAATCTACTCCTCTGTATATTTTGAAGGAGATGATAGAAATAAAAGATTTAAATTTAAATGTGATAAATACATGAAATAGTTATAAAGATGCGGTGTAAATTTCAAATTCTTTATTTACTTGAACTTAGGGCTAACTAGAAGCTGGTCAATCACTTTATACAACAAAGTATAAAAAATCAAATTATATTAAAAGGTATTTAATACAATATCAATAATAGTATTATGGCAATGAGACAGCAGCCAAACAACAAAAATTAATAAAATTAGACAGACATCAAATTGCTTAATTTACAAGAGTATCAGGTACTTTCATCTATTTAGATTGATTCACATTTATATCGATTCAAATTCTTTGTGAAACTAAAACATATTCTTTGTCAATCTTAAACAATCATTAAAAATATGATGAAAAAATATATCTTCAAAGTTTTCTAACACATGAGAGAAAAAGACAAATTAATACACCTGGAAATAAACATCGAACCTAAATTTTGAGCCATGATACTTATTGAAATTAACATACCCTCAAAGATGTTTTTTAACAATATTTGGAATTGGACCTCATAAACTACTAATAGAAAAAGGTCGTTACTTAATATCAAACTAGAAAATATAATATGCAATCTTTTAATGACGAAATAGAAGATAAGATTCATATTCTTTTAACATGTAAAGCTTTGTTTAATGTCAGAAATCCTTTTCTTTGCAAAATATTCAATAGAAATAAATCAAGATAGCAAATCTCTTTTTATTTGGTGAATGGGAAATGAAGATTAAGGGGGTATGATGAAATTTGAAAAAAAGCAGACAGGAATTTTGAGTAAAAAAAAAGGCAGGATGAGCAACTTGGCAAAAAAAAAGGCTTCTAACATTTCTAAAGAAAGCAGCTCTCTCCTCTTCACTGGCTGTTTCTATGTCCATGTCTGTGTTAATTTCTTCGGAAGATTTATGTAAACAAAGTCAGGATAAACTAATAGAAAAAAGGCAGGACCGAATATAGTGAAAAATAAAATGCAGGGCAAAATTTTTCATCCTAGTCCCCCTATAAAAATCAAATGGTAGCTCCCTAATAATTGCATACGAAATTCCAATGATCCAACTATTTTCTCCATGATTTTGCTGTGTGTCATTGTCCGCATGATATGCACACGTTATTATACTCTTCTATTTTTACGATTATTTGTTTACGAAATGTAAAATAATAAGGTCAGACCGGTTCTTTTTAAGTTCATGTGTAAACGCACTAGATTAAATAAGATCGATCTCGATCGATTTTGCTTGTGCATATGTAAACGCGAACTGGGCATTTTAAGATCTATTCAAATAAAGATCGGTTCAATTTCGTACAAGTGTAAACGGGGTCTTATTGAGACTATTTTTGCAATTAAAAAGTAGTTTCAATCATTATTTATAGCGGTACACTTCAGTAACTTTTTTTTCTCTTCTTGTGAGATTATATATTTTTTTCTGAAACGGCCCGAATAAAAAAATGTTTGTGTACACATTCAGAAATAACAGATTTGTTTTTTTTTTCTTTTTTCCGCTTAATATTAATCTGATTAAGTACGACTTTCCTTTATCCTTTAAGTACTTCAAAATATTGCAAAAATACAGTATGTTATCTTAAAAACAATAAACAGCATTCAAATTAAATTTAAAATACATTGAATTTGCTCACATTGTTTTTATATATCAACACATCAAAATACAATAAATGCAATTTCACAGACGCATATATACATGCAGATTGGACTGACGCACTTCTTTATATTTAAATATAAAGCAGTAAAACATAGTGGCATCTTTATTAACTGCAGGATTTTAAACGATTGTAAACAAATATAGGTAGATCAAATGAAAACAAAATAAAAATCATTGAAACAGCAGTGGATGGAATAATATAACCCAATATAACCATTGTGTATACATCCGTACAACTTGAATATACACTGTTGATTAACAGTAATGAAGCGATAAACAAACATTAAGCATAGTTTATATCAATACCAGACAGGAAATATTTAACGATCCTACATTAATCTATGTAAATTTTGTTAAATGCTTTAAATGATATACAATTTTGGACACTGTACAATAAAACGTGTCTTGATGTAAAAAAGGGGTATTTTAACTGCAAGAATGCTTATCAAATAGATGGAAGTTTATAACAATGTTGAGGCAGATCGGAAGGATCTGTAATCTTAAAGGTTGAATGCTGCATGTTTCTTTATCGTTGCAAAATTAAGTGCATATTCGTTTATTACAGCAATTTGTGTGTTAAGTATGTCGTGACTTGATCATATTATTTACAACAAAATTTGGATACAAAAACACATAAAGATGACTCCTCCCCGATTTTTTCATAAAGGAGGGAATTTCCAAAGATTTATTTTTGTGCTTTTTAGATCAACATGTTTGTGGTACGATTCTGTGTAACTTTTAGATAGACAGCTTGTTATATCTCGAAAAGCAACTTTAATGTACACCTAAACGTATGTGTGAAAAGTTTAATTCAAAGGATCTATGAGATCTCCGTATATTTTGCATAGCAACATTCCAGCAGCGCCTGCATACGGAGTATATATCTCCCAATTGATACGATATTCCCGGGCTTGTATTTCCTATCATGATTTCCTTGATAGAGGATTGCTGCTCACAAGGAAGCTATTAAACCAAGAGTTCCAAATGGTGAAGTTAAAATCATCCCTTCGTAAATTTTACGGACGCCATCACGAGTTGGTTGACCGTTATGGAATAACCGTTTCACAGATGATATCGTATATGTTCCTTATGTCGTATCTACAATACCCTTCCCTTTTCACGAATGTGACCTACCGAATTAGACTACTTACCGGATTTATAATAACATAAGAAACACGACGGGTGCCACATGTGGAGCAGGATCTGCTTACCCTTCCGGAGCACATGAGATCACCCCAGTTTTTGGTGGGGTTCGTGTTGCTTAGTCTTTAGTTTTCTATGTTGTGTCATCTGTACTATTATTTATCTGTTTATCTTTTTATTTTTGGCCATGGCGTTGTAAGTTTTCTTTTTGATCTGTGAGTTTGACTGTCCCTCTTGTATCTTTCGTCCCTCTTTTATATTTTCGGGTTCTCTCCACTTTCGATATATCGGATATTCTTTGTATGCTAGCTTTTATTCAAATTTTGAAAATCATAACAAAACAGTTTCACCACAACATTTGAAAAGCATTCAAATATATTTTTTTATGTGTAGCAACCAGAAACAGGAGAGAACGCCTTATACAATGCAGTTGCTAACTTTTGTTTATGTTTTAAAGCTCTGATAAATGATGGATACAATCGTTTTTCAGAAATATTTTAACAAACTTTAACAACATGTCCTGTAAAGTTTATCAAAACACGTTTTGTACCTTTTCACATGGATTGGTTTATATATACAAAATGTATTATTTATGTATTGACATTCATCAGCAAATTATAAAACGATCAGACATATGTTTATTTCAGATGTTGAGTTTCTTTTTGTAAAAATATGTAAGACAGACTCGTGGATAGTGTTAATTAACAATTGACTTGTTGTCGAAATGCGGGAAACACGCGCACTCACACTCACAATCATGATTATCATTCATTTTTTTTTTATCAATTATCAACGAAATTCATACATTGATGACAAAGATTAAAATGTGGTCACACACATTGATTTTCTCTATTTTTGTATCAATACATACACCGCACTTTTCAAAAATAAAAATTATTTCAGTCTGCAAATTTCTATTATCTTAAAAATAAAATAGCAAAAGCATAGAGTATTTGTATAAAATTCATTTGTAAAGTATTATAAAGGTTGAAAAAAAAGAAACATGATTACCACCGCTGCAGTATCTGGTTAATGCAATACAAACGCAGTGCTCATGTATTACCAAGTGAATACAATGCTTTCCTTACGTCGGCACATCTTTTATTTCTTGATATTCAACCTCAACATGGCTATATTCAGCAGTATCATTAGCGACAATTTGTTTTGGTCTGTCTGTTCCACTAGTGACATCATAGTCATTTTCTAATTCTTCAATTCCAACAGACTGCATAGTATCATAGTTACTTTCAGTTGGAATCTGATTCTGACTCAGTCGATGATGTTCCATGTGATCATAGGTATCGTCGGCTGTGTTATTTCTAGTCGAGTCGTCAGGTGTTTTCTCTTTTGTAGGCTTGTTGACCTGAGCGTATGTTACTTCATTGTTTGGAACAGCCAATGGGCGATGTGCAAATCTCAATGGGGTCCGTCTAATAAAAATATATAAGGAGGTGAGTTACAAGTGGAAAGAACATGAATTTAAATATGCAAATAATTAAATGCATACTATGGAAAGACATCAACGGTACCAATTTAACTGCACCAGATGCAGATTTCAAAAATTATTGTTTCATAAGTCATGTTCAAAATATTTGAAAATTCGAAGCCTCATACAGACGTTGTAGAGTTGATATTATGCAAAAAGGACCAAAATCGAATAGATAATCAGGACTAGGAATATAGGAATAATAGCTATGATTAAGGGAGAAAATTCCTTAATCTAAAAATCATGTCTGTTCGGTACTAAAGTATTTTTGTAGATTCAGATCTATACGTATGTGTTTTTAGCCGTTTAGTTTCAAGGCGAAATCAAAAGGTACTTAAGGATTATAAATATATCATAAACACATAATATTCTATCTAAATTGAAAAGAAGGAAAATACATTTCATCGATTAATGTCTGTACCACGGTAACAACATTATGCTAAATATAGTTATAGGTTACCTTACAAGTTATACCGGATTATAGTGTTAGTCTAAGTTTAAGTCACTCATCGATCCAGTCTGCTCAAACAAATTGAGTTTGTTTTCGTTCTAATCACATGTATAAATACAGTGTTTCCCACTTGACTCTGGGGCAATAAATTAAATTTAAACTTACACTTAAAGTTGATATAAGAATACTTCATAAATAACGTTATTTCAACTATACTTCTATATTTACATTTTTTATGTTTTTTTAGCATATTTCTAATCATTTTATGATAAAAGTGCATTGAACCAGAAAACGTTTTCCGTCAGGGTTGGAAAAGTATAACCTGGGCGGGTAACGCCGGGTCCGGGGTTTTTCTGTGCTTGGAAAGATTCTTAAACTTGGGCAGTACTGGGAGATATAATTTTTATAGCTTATGTTACAAAAACAAATGGTATTGTCTAAAATATCTAAGATATTTTGTAGTTTCATAGTATTTTTACTAAATATAAACATGTTATGCATATACAATGTAAAAGAACAAACATATCGAACTCCAAGGAAAATTCAAACCGTAAAGTCCCTTATAAATGGCAAAATCAAAAGCTCAAACACATCAAAAGAATAGAAAACAACTGTCATATTCCTGACTTGGTACAGGCATTTCCTTATGTAGAAAATGGTGGACTAAACCTGGTTTTATAGCTAGCTAACCCTCTCACTTGTATGATAGTTGCATAAAATTCGAAAGTCATTTTCGGATATTATGTTTGAAACAATAACAAAACTGACAAACTGTAAACAGCAGAATTGATGATAACAATTTGGACTATTAAACAATTCCATTGTAGAATTGAATGCTACATTTTGAAAATTTATAAAGAATTCAAAACAAATTCTAAAGCTGGATCTTAGGTTAAAACGTTGGAAAATCTTTAAGGCATTGCATGACCTGGATATATAAAATTTAAATGCATTCTATGTTTCAGAAAATTAAAGAAATAACTGGATTTTGCTTTGCACTTTTTTGCATTCCTGCAGAAGATGAATAAATAAAAAACAAACCACTAGAGTTTCTCTTGACATGACCAACTCAGTAACACAATTCACATAATCCATCAGAGCTCTATATTTGTCTGATACAGATGTTTACCTGCACTCAGAGTGAAGTTTGTAGTGTAAACAGGGCCATTATAACCTAAAGGTCAATATGACCTTAAAGATGTTGATTTCAAAATTGATAGCTCATCAACATATTTACCAAATTTCAATTATTATAATTCATATGCATATCATAATGTTAGAATAACAATATTCGGTTACATATATTATTTCTTAATAATATTCATATCTACAATATATAATGTCAACTTCTTTAATAAGTATCGTGGCCAATACAACTGTCTTAACTTCTCGAAAACATATAATACAAAATGTCCTTAAAATGTGACATCTTATTTCAATTAGAATATATGATGACAGTTCAATCCATTCGATAATAATGTCAACAGGAAACCATACCTTTTGTATAAAACGATCACAGCAATAGTAACCGCAACAAGTAGGACGGCTGTTATAATCAACGCTATCATTAGAATATCTGAAATGTATATAAATGTATATATCCTCTTTGTTATTGTGTTTGCTTACTTGTCAGTTAAAAAGCCTTTTGTTCAAACTAAAATAATGATTAGTATATTAATACTAATACTTATATCAATAATAATAATATTATCCCCAATAGTTGTTAATTAAAGTCATATGCAGTCAAAGTGTTTTTCAGTGTCAAACATTCAGCACTTCTACATGCAAATATATTTTCTGTCGGTGTGCAATTCATGCAGGTACTGGTTTTTAATTGGCTGCAAGACGAATCAACTAGTATGTTGTCAATTGTATGACTTTTTGTATGCAACTCCAGGATAGAATAAGTAGCACCGCCAACCAAATTATTAAACACTATTTCTACAAATTGGCCGGGCACCCTGCCCCCCATAAATTAGTCTCTGACAAGATAAGAAAACGACAAACAGAGATAATATATAACAAATGGTTTATGCATATTAAATAAAGTAAACTTTGCAATCAAAAATCGTATTCGTCTATAAAACTGAAAATGACACACAACACTTACCAGTGTCGGAAGATGACATATCTGCGTCAGCACATACGGCTGGTAGTTCTTCGAAGCATGGCCTTATAAATCTAGACACGTGATGATTGCCTTTTTGTATGGTCACAGCAATACAGTATTTTGGTTCAGAGTCTGTATATAAAGAAATGTTACATTATATGCTTAGATATTTTAGCCCTGTATTGTAAATGTATATTGTGACGGCAGATTTTATTTATGTTCTTTTTTTTTTTTAAATTCACTAACCACTTGCTATGTTCTTCTCCAGATAACATTTCACTAGTTCACTGTAAATCAACCAAGACTTTCTAAAAAGGTCATATTTTATATATTCATTGGAAGTTTACAGCATACATTTTAGCTTTGTTAAATACCTTTTAATACATTAAAAATTTATCTAAGGAATCATATGTCAATACTAAAGTCGATTTGTCATCTTTATGTGTATGATGCAAACTTTATTGCACATTGCATTGACCAAGATTATTCCAGTATGGACAATAAACAAAACAAACAATTTACTTCTGTGTGTTGTCGATTTTCCTAGACTTCTATTCATGTTACACATAGACGATTTTCATTAATACTTACCTTATTTTAATTCCAAAGTAACAAAAAAGTAAAACAAATATATATATAAAGGTGCATTCCTTTCTTAAACTAGACATTTATTTTGGAATACAAGTGTAAAAGAAAAAGAAGCCCGATGTTTGTACATTATTACAAGTGGAAATAGAATAAGTGTCAGAACACCCAAGACTCCAGACGAAACTAGATTTCTATTTATTGGTTGTTGTACAACAAAACGAAGATATCAGTTCCGTTTGAAGCGATTTTCTGGATTATTGCTCAAAACAAAACATTTGAAGATAAAGATGTATCGATATCTGTAAACATGAGTAGTTATATTACCAAAAGGACGTACATCCACTACATTTGAACTCTGGTGAATTGTTGTCTTATTGATAATTATAACTCATCTCCTTATTTAACATTTATACATTCGCGTAAGGCGACCCGAAACTTGAACAAAGATATAGTTGAGATATACCTTTACAAAATTAAAGGTTTTGTTTACAATATCAGATATTGTTATAACGTTATTCTATCATCATCTGCAAAATAATATATAACCGTTCATCAGAGGTATAAGTATTAAATTATATATATATATAAATACACAAAATCTTTTACAGGTTCTAGTAAAAGTACTACTAGTAATATATATATATATATATATATATATATATATATATATATCTGAAAGACAGCTAACAAAACATACCTGCAGAGCGGTGGATTATTGGTCTTCTAATATTAGCCAGCCAGAAGTCACCTAAATTCTGTTTCCTCAACTTTTTGTAAATATCGTACGTAGCAAAACTAGATGGGATACAATGGTCGAAAGAGCTTATCCAGTCATCTTTGGGACTGTTGATACTGGCTGAATATTGTAATTAGAAATAATAATAAAATGAATGCTTTTATAAACAACCTCAACTGACACAGATGCTAGGAGTCATAAAAATAAAACAAGTTCTCGTATCACAAAGCAAATATGATAACCTGCAAATCACAGGTTTCAAGTTCATTGTGTATTTCTAATCTATAGAAAAAAGCTATTTACTTAATGCAAAAATAAATTAATAACACCAATACATGACTAGTATCTAAAATTCACATCATGACTCATTGAAAAAAAGGCTATTAATTTTCCCGTTCGAATCAAAATAAATAAATTTATTTAGAATTACACAAAATAAAGTAATTGTGAGGAGCTAAAATTGACTGACAAACATAAGTGGAGGAAACTATACTCAGTTTCATAAACATATTCTTACCTCTACAGAACGGATGTAACATTGTCTCGCACGGGTTTGCTATAAAATTATCCAGGTGGTCGTGATGATTTGAAACACTTAAACAGTTTCCAGCATTGAATGTCCCACTGATATTCCCTGAATAATGATAGTGAATATAATAATAGTGATAATCGGTCGTCGTTAAGTCATATACAATTTTCTTATGATGTAATATTTACTTTTTGCAAACAAGTGTTTTCCAAAAACATATATTTTAAATATATAGATTTGCTGGTGAGTAAGTAATATTCAGTGTTGATAAACTCCCAAACTCCTACCTGATAACGATTTTTAAACACTTAGAAGTCATCACAATATTATTGACCAAAGAGCAGATTTGTACTAGTATATCAATATGCTTCATTCATCCACTTTATTGATGCTGTTTATCTCAATCAACTATTCTTCACATGGTAATATTCAAAAACACATAAATCTATTAATGGGTGACATACAAAAACACATTCAATGTAGATCAACTGGATATTATTTGTATTTTGTTTCCTTGATGATCATTTGTCTATTTACATCGTCTGAATTACAATTGTTATATCATTAGGTCTTTCCATTTTTCGATGGAAAGACCTATTGTATTTGTTCTGATTATTGGGTCTTTCCACTTTTCGGTGGAAAGACCTATTGTATTTGTTCTGATTATTAGGTCTTTCCACTTTTCTGTGGAAAGACCTATTGTTTTTGTTCTGATTATTTTCATTATTTTCTTCCGCCAAATTTTATTCTCGCGTAACATTTTTTTTTCGCAATATGTCGCTAAGATATTTTTTATATAGTATCATACAGTTTATGCGCTTTTTATTTTCACCCATTCTAAGCGGAAAAATTTTCTTTGTAAGAGTCATCTCCCCAAACACTGTTTTCCTTGTGACTACATCTACTCCGTAACGGCAAAAGAAAGCGACAAATTTATTTTATAAAATTGCTCGTTATATTCTTCGCATGATTTGTCCTATTTTGAGCGAAGCGATATGAACACTCCATATGAGAGTTATTTCCCCTTATGCATGTGATATAAGTAATATGCATTTCTAACTGGTAAACCATAAGTGATAGAGACCTAGGGTCTTTTGATTTGAGGTCCTTGGTCCAAACAAAATGAAAATTAGGTCAAGGTCAAAGGTCAAGGTCACATTCTAAATTTTGATTTTGGCTTATTTTCACTTACTTCCAAAAACCGTAAAAGATATCGACAAAATATTTTTACTAAATTGTAAGTTGGGACATGTAACACATGAATTTTGGTTGAAAGGGTGCGTTGACCGTAAAAGAGAGTTATCTCCCTTTTTATATTTAAAATTACATGTATGGTGGTATAACTCATTTACCAAGTACAATAAAGACCTAGGGTAATATGATTAAAGGTCCTTGGTGTATGACCTTGAAATTGAGCTCAAGGTCAAAGTTTAATTTGATGTTCTAGATTTTGACCTTTGCTTTAACTTCATATTTAAACACGATAAAGCCATGGGACTTTTTTTATTAGGTTGCAATTTACATGACCTTGAAAAGCCAACCGGAGGTGACCTTGTGTAAACCGGAAATAGCTTTGTTTTGTACTTATTTGATGTAAAGTGTATTGAACAATATAGTTTTGAATCAGTATCAAGTAAACTATCAAATAAAAGCGGAAGTGACATATTTCAAACCGGAAGTAACAATTTATCTCCTTTATTTAGAAAAAATGTATAGAAACCATATATTTTTGGAATCAGTTGACAATAAGCTATCATTTGACGCTGGATATGATATTTCAAACTGAATTTTCATAGTTCTATTTCAAAATTGATCTGTATGGGTGGAAAGACCTTCAATTGTTCTCTGAACAATTGGTTTTTAATTTTTTTTTTTTTTCTTCTTCCGCCACTTTTATTTCTAGCGTATAAATTTTTATACGCAAGATGTCGCTTAGATGTTTGATATATGATATCGAACAGTTTATGCGGCTTTGAAATTCACCCTGCGAAACTGAATACTTTTCTTTGTAGGAGTTATTTCCCCGAACACTGTTTTCCTTGTGACTGCATCTCCTCTGTAACCGTAAAAGAAAGCGACAAATTTATTTTATAAAATTGCTCGTTATATCCTTCGCATGATTTGTCCTATTTTGACTGAAGCGATACGAACACTCCATAAGAGAGTTATTTCCCCTTATGCGTTTGTTATTAGTGATATGCATTTTTATCTTATAAACCATAAGTGATAGAGACCTAGGATCTTTTGATTTGAGGTCCATAATCCAAAAATAAGAAAATAAGGTCAAGGTCAGAGGTCAAGGTCATATTTTAAATTTTGATTTTGGCTTATTTTCAATTCTTTTCAAAAACCGTATAAGATATTGACAACATATTTTTACTAAATTGTAAGTTGCGACATGTCGTAACACATAAATTTTGGTTGAAAGGGTACACTAACATTAAATTGGAGTTTTCTCCCCTCTTATATTAAAAATTAGGCATATAGTGATATTACTCATTAACCATGTATAAATTAAGACCTATGGTCTTTTGATTTGAAGCCCTTGGTTTATGACCTTGAAATTGAGCTCAAGGTCATTGGTAAATTTGACGTTCTAGATATTGACCTTTGTTTTTACCGCATTTGTATACATGATAAAGCCATGGGACTTTTTGCAATACTGACCATGGAAAAGCCAACCGGAAGTGATCATGTGTAAACCGGAAGTAGCTATTTTTTGTACTTATTAAATGTAAAACTATATTGAACCATATATTTTTGGAATCAGTATCAAGTAAACTATAAAAAAAACCGGAAGTGACATTTTTCAAACCGGAAGTAACAATGTATCTCCCTTATTTAGAAAAAAAATGTATAGAAACCATATATGTTTGGAATCAGTGAACAATAAGCTATCATATGACGCTGGATATGATATTTTAATAGTTCTATATCAAAATTGACCTTTATGGGTGGAAAGACCTTCAATTGTTCTCTGAACAATTGGTTTTTTAATTTTGATTGCATTTGTGAAAATAATTTGCCAAATAGGCAATGCATATCACAGGTATCAATAAATTAATTTTCAAAATAATGAGATAATAATGATACAGTTTTACTGTGTGAAAACATCTTTTATATTTTGCCTCACTTTGAGGGGCAATTGATAGGCTTAATTATTTAACAAATAAATTCATACAATATAAATACCAATAACAATATAAAAAACAAAAAAAAATAATATACTAATGGAAAAACAAACTTTTTGTCACAGAAAAAGGC